TAATGCCACTGAGTTCAGCAACCTCAGGACCCAGTCACCACTCTAATGCCCTCCTCTGCGTGGTGCTATATGGGGATCAAGCCCTCAGCACACAGGTCTTTCAGAGTGCTGCATATTTAAACCATAATAGGAACCAAGGTCAAAGGTCAACTATTAGAACCAAAGGCACCCCGGAATCCCTGTCTCGCAGGAAATTTCAAAGGGGTCAGGAGCTCTTTGCCAGGACTTATGGGCAGGGACCAAACATATATTTCTTATTATATCACAAGATTACAAGGGCAGATCAAGCAGAGCCTTGCAGATCATAGGTGGGCCGGGGATTTAGTTCAGTGGTGCCACAAGCACAAGGTCCTGACTTCGATCTCCGGTACCAAAAGAAGAAGAAAGAGGAGAAGGAGGAGGAGGAGGAGGAGGAGAAGGAAGAGGAAGAAGATCATAGTCTTCATTCATTCAATGTGAATGAAGCGCCTGCTGTGTGCTGAGAAATAGTGTAGGCAGCTCAGGCAGGGGAATGAAGTCAGGCAAAGTCACTCCCCTCACAGCTTAGTGATAGGAAAGAGACACATATGTGAGTGGATCTTACAAAAGCACATGGGAGAAAACAAATCAGCAGAGTGAGACAGAGTGACTCGGGAGGAGGGCACCGCTTTGTATGGATGGTATCAGGAAAGGTCTGAGCAGGAAGGAGACGGACCTGTGAGGTTCACAGTAATGAGCATTCTGGGCCGAGGCCGATAGCAGGTGCAAAGGCCTTCAGGAAAGAGCAGCTTGGGATCTGCAGGAGGCAAAGGCAAGGTGTTGGTGTTTTACTCTAAGTTCTGTGGGAGCCGTTCAGGGTGCTGGCAGGAAACTCTCAGGTCTGACTCAACTTCTCAAAGAGCACAGCAAGTGCCATGTGCAGAGGGGCGTGCAGGAGTCTCAGAGGCAGGAGCGAGGGCCGGTAGGATGCTCTGCCAGGGGACAGGGCCAGAGCAGACGCTGTCTGGAGGTGGAGAAGATGAGACAGGATGGAGGACGCCTCCTCACACCTGGCCACTGAGGGCAAAGCAAAGAGAGAGGTGAAGGGCGCTTCCTGTGAGACGGAGGGGCTGGGGAGGCACAACCTCGGATGGGAAGGAGCGGTTCCACGGCCGCCACTGAGGCTCCCGCATGTTCACATGGCTTCTGGGGGAAGCCTGGCCTCGCCTCGCCTGCCTGTGGTGCTGGCTGCCTGTGTGAGGCAAGTGGAGAACGGCGCGATGCCAGCCTTCACAGCTGCAGTGTCAGCCGGATTTGGCTGCCGTCCTGTCACTTAGGAAGCCCTTTCAAACTTTATCTATTCAACATCGCCACCAAAAATGGTGTCTCCGAAAACGGTATTGCCTCCATTTTACAGAGGAGGAAATGGAGGCTTAGAGGCTGCGATGAGCCCCACCTCAGCCAGCCAGGTCGGATGGGAACCAGCTGAGGTGCCAGAGCTTCCACAGAGGCACCACCTCCGTGGGGGGCATCTTGACCTTCATTTTCTGTGAAGCACATGGGGCTTCCTTGGGTTTGGAGTGGACAGGGTGGCTGGGAGCGGAGTGAGAGCCTCTGGTGGGGAGAAAAAGAGGGCAGAAAGTGACCCCGAGTAATTCTGGGACATCCTGTGAGGTACTCAGACCTGTCTGTCTCCAGGCTGGAGCCTTCCTCCCATGCTATCTGGTGGTCCGGGCCTGGCCATCGGGTCTGTGTAGGATGTGCCCTACCTGGCCTGCAACACGACTGTAGTTCAGTCTGGTGGGCACTGCAGTGCTGCCCTGCCCGCCTGCCACGTCCAGGGCCTTCCCCTGAGAGACCCTGGCAGAGACCTCCCAGCCTGCCCACCTCCGCCGGTGGGATACGGGCATGTTACCAATCTCACCCTCCCTGCGGGGTGGAGGGCAGTTTCCTGGCTGGGACTTTCCACCAGCGAACATCCAGATGCCATCAAGACCTCCCTCCCAGGGCGTCCTTGCCCAGCCATGCTGCTGGACCCCAGAGCTCAGTGCCCACGCCCCAGGCCCTGGCCTCCCACCCTGCTCTGGCTGGGTGCCTCTCCCAGGCTTCCTCGGCACCTGTTTACCTCACCGCTTGTCATTGCTGCTGGGTCCGGTGGGATTCTGTTCAGATGGCGAGACAGCTGAGTCACTGGTGTTCGTGAAGCCTCCTTTTCCTACTCAGTAGAACATCGCCTCCATTTTCATACCTTTCTCTTCCATCCGCAAAGCTGCCATTGCCCTGTCTCCAAGCCCAAGCTGTATCACTCCAGGTGGGTTTATAGTAAATTTTGGGCAGCATGTCTCCTACCATTACCACCTTTCTTTCTTTTTTCTCTTGTTTGTTCCTTCCTTCCCTAGAAGAACTGACATTTTTATCATATTGTTCTCCACGCAAGCGCATGTTCAGTACTTTACGCAGGTTTATGTCCTGCGTAAGTTTCAGACTTTGCCATTAAACTTATCGTTATTTCACTTTACCTAAATATTTTATAGTTTTTGACACTATAAACGGACACTTTACTTCTACTTATAATTAACTACTACTAATACAGAGAAAAGCTATCCATTTTTGCTTATTTACTTGATATCCAGCCCCCTTAGCAAACACAACTATTATTTCTGGTCTATTTTTCTAGAAAAACCTAAGGGTTTTCTAGATATCCACTATATATCCAGAAAGTGTGTAATTCATACACACACACACACACACACACACAAACATATATATATATTTTTTCCTTTGTATGATAGCCCAAAACTTCAAAACAGTGCCCAGCAGAAAGAACAGTAGCCTTCACTTTTGTTTTATTTTAAATGCGGATTCTTTCACACTTCAAAATTTCTGAGGTTCACTGTAGATTTTGAGGAAAGAGGGCACATAGGTGCCTTTCCTGAGGTACTTGTGTGGAGACCACTCCGTCAGTGGGCGGGGTGCTCCATGGGACACCTAGGAGCCTGGGGAAGGTTATGTAAGTCTTCGTAGCAAGGAGACACAGTTCAGAGCCCCTGAGCACCCCCAGATTCTGAACACCCCATATTCTTACCAGAACAACTTAGAGGAGCTTCTTTGCTGCAAATACTAGGTTTCTATGCACTTTTTAAAAGAAACGGTATAGGACAAAAAATAAAATGAAGTAATAAAGTAACAATAAGAGGAAACAGCCACATTAGCCAAGGTAGTGATGTTAAGGGTGAGGTTGCCAGGCACATGGGAGCCCTGGGCCTTCAGGGACAGCTCAGCACCTGGACACCAGCGGCTGTCCCACAACAAGAACTGAAGCAGAGGCTCATGAAGCTGGCAGGCAGTCATGTATGTGGGGGAGAGAAGATGTCTCCTTGGCTCACCAGAGAAGACTGGCCGCTGGGGTTCAGGACACTGCAGCCTCACTCCCCAACCCACCTGTCCACGCCTGTCCACGGCCCAGGACCTTGGACACCTTTGCTGACTGCCCCTCTTCAGGACCCGTCCAAGGTCCATGGCAGGGTCCCCAGCGAGGGGACAGAAATAACGGAACAAAAGACTGTGAGTGAGGAGAGACGCAGAGCCGGTCCATCCGGGCACCACAGCCATTCTGTCAGGGGCACCAGGGAGGTTATCCCAGAGATGATGGATCTCTGAGGCCCTCAGGGACCCGGCAGAATAGACAGGCTAGAATAACAGCCTCTGTGCATGCCCACAACACTCCTCTTAAGAATTTCCTTTACAGATAAACTGGAATTCGGGGAAATTAGGGTGCTCACACAGCTGTACAGATCGAAACCCCAGCTCCAGAGCCTGCTACCACTGGATGTGACTGTTTAGCCACCAGACTGTTCCTGGGGAGTCCAAGGACCAAGACCGGATCCCCTAGGTGGCAGGGCTTTTCTGGGGGCTCTGGAGTTCACGTGTGCCCCAGGCATTACCGACAGGAAAAGTGACAAGGAAGCAAGCACACAGGACAGGTGCTGAGTTCAAAGATGACTGCCCACAGGTAGCTTTACCCTGAGTGTCAGCGTGTAGCCTTGCTGGGAACAGGATCTTGCGGGTGTAGTGAAGGTAAGGATCGCAAGATGAGATCGTGCAGGGTCAGAGTGTCCTTGTAGAGACAGAAAGGAGACAAAAAGGCTCACAGGGATGGGGACAGTGTGTATCTGAGGCCGGGCATCAGGCTGATTCTTCCACAGGCCCTGGGACACCAGGAGCCGCCAGACTCGGGAAGATGTAAGGTAGGAATCTCTCCTAGAGCCTCCGGAGGGACTGTGGCCCACCACACCTTGGTTTCAGACTTTTCTCTCCAGAACTGGAAGATAACACAGTCCTTTTAAGCCCTTCAGCATTCGGTCATTTATTACAGCAGTCTCGGGGACGAGTATATCCAAGCGTCCATAATTCTTCATAAAATAATCGCTAAAATCATAGCTACAGTTTATTATTATGTATTTTAAAATTAACAAATATAAAATATTACTCTCATGTGCATAGTAAAAATAAAGCTACCAAACCTGGAGTGATAGCACACACTTATAATGCCAGCACTCTGGGAGGCTGGGGCAGGAAGATCCTAAGTTCAAACCCAGCCTGGGAAACTTATCGACTTAGTGAGATCTTATTTTAAAGTGAAAAATTATAAAAGGCTGGGGGTGTAGCTCAGTGCAAAGGCCTTGGATTCAGCCCCTAGTACTGCCATGCGCGCGTGCACGCACACACACACACACACACACACACACACACAACAGATGAGTCGAGATGGCTCATGAGTTACTCTTCTTTTCCAAAGGCCCTTTAGGTGTCGGAGTGCGCACGGCCCTCACTAACCCACAGGAAGGTCAGAGTCATGCTTGGCTGGCAGCGGGTTACAAACACTTCCCACCTTCCTCTCTGCCCTCACAATTTGGCAACACTAAGAGGCCAGTTTATGGTTGTTCCAGAAAAGTGAGAATTGCTAAAGTCCTTTTTGTCATATTTGCTCAATCCCCCCGCCCTCACTACTTGACACCCCACCTCTCCCATGCCATCCCCAGCTCTCTCCTCCTCTGGACTTCAGCACCCCAGCTGGCATGGGACAGGGCAGCCAGTTAAGAGCGCAGCTGCACCAAATGCGACAGGCAGAGTTCTCCTGTCACTGAGCTGGCATCATGGCACCGTCTGTGGCCTGGGCAGGTACGTGGGCAAGGGTGGGAGAGAGAGCTGGGCCTCTGGAGCCCTAGAGAAATGGCTCCATGCTATTATCTGCAAGGAAGAGGGATGGCTCAGTGGGTTGGGAAGCCCTGACTTGCAGACCACTGGTCACCTCTCCTGGCACCCCCTTCTTTCAGTCCCAGAGTCTTTGTGTTGCAAGACAAGGCTTTCCTCAAAGAGCCATAAATGACTTTCCTCTTTCTGCCCTGGAAGCCTGTAGTTGGGTCCCTCCACGGGGTGCCTTGTCTCTCCCGTGTTCGAAGCCTTACCCAAGAAACCCCAACCCCGTGCTTGTCGGATGTCCTGCAAAAGGGCAGCCTTGGATGTCCTTGTGAATTTTTCTGTAGCTTTTATTAAGTTAACAGAAATCCTGAGGTCACCAGGAAGGTGGAAGAAACCTCTCTGGAGGAGCTTACCAGCTCTGGATCTCCCAGGGTGTCCCTGTGCCACCGGTCTCTTAAGGTGGGAGGAGGGAAAGCAGCAGGGAGTCCTGGAACATGGCACAGGCACCATAACCTACTGGAGACAGGGTCTCCCTGCCCAGCCCCTTTACGTGGGCTCTCCCCAGCCCAGGGACACAGGTTTTCTTCTTGCTCCATAGAGAAGCTGACTGTGAATTTCTCACCCATCAGCAGTTTCCCCTCCATTCTAAATTCACACCGCCTTCCGCAAAGCATCAACTTCTAGAAACCTCTCTGGACAGAAAGGGGCCCCCTGGGTCCTTCCTGGATGGAGGGAATTTGTTTCTTGTGAAACCAGCCCTCCTTGACCACCTCCACCCTGTATGCTTTGGTCAGCGAATGGGGTCTGGGCTGCTAGAATGACGACATGACCCCTACCTTGTTTCTTGTCACTTCAGGTGTGATGTTCCTGCTGGTGGTCCAGTGGGGTGAGTGTCATCTGTCCCGAGCCCAGCCGAGTCATCTCAGCCCCTCCCTGGGATCTCAGACTCCCCACCTGGCCCCTCTGCCCACACCCTCCAAGAGCAGGGACTCCCCTCTAGTAGCCTTGCTCTTCCTGCTCCAAGGAAGCTCTTGCCTGTGCCCATGTGCTCCCCTCCTGCCTGTCCATGGGGCCAGCATAACTTCCTGGCTCCCTCGGGCTCCCCCAGCCCTTTCCACCCCTCTGTCATTCACAGTGCTCAAACATGCTTTCCAGTTTGCATCACAGGTCTCCCCAGCCAATTCTGGGCCCCCAGAGGTAAGGAACCCAGGTCTTACACAGCTCTGTGTTCCCAGCTCTCCAGGGGACTCTCAGGAACTCAGATTCAGGGTCCCCTTCCCATCCTACCTGCTCCTTGGGCATCCGTGGTCTGGGTATATTCATCCTGACTCTCGAGCCGAGGCTGCTGCCTTCACACTGGGCTGTGGCACTGGACATACATTTCCCCCCTTGGTCACACAGTAAGGGATAGGCATTGACAGTCCAGTGTCCCTGCTCTTATCAGTCACATTTACCGTCATCATTTTTTTTTTAATTTTGGGGGTACTGAGATGAGCCCTGAGCTACATGCCTAGACCTTTTTGTATACTTTGATCTGGAGCCGGGGTCTCCCTAAGTTGCCTTGTCACCCAGGGTAGGCCCAAACTTTCCATCCCCCTGCCTGAGTCTCCCAGACTGCTGGGATCACAGGCAGGTACCATCACACCCAGCTCCCCTCCAATCTTTATGGCTGTCACCGCACAAAATCCACAGGTGGCTTTTGATAGGCTGCGGCCTGACATGACAAGCAAGAGCCTCTGGCTCCTTCCTGGATGGTCTGGGCTGACCCTCTCCCTCCCTTTTTGTTGCCAATTCTCCACCTAGCTTGCTGAGGGCTGTATGCTGGCCCTGCCCACAAGCTTTACTCCCAGGTGACCTCTGTCAAGGTAGCCCTTTGTGCTTTCTCTCATAGCTGTTCTGCATACCAATCGCCAAGTCCTTGGCATAAGTGTTGGCTCATCCAAACCTCCCATCATAGAGTTTAGGAAGAGATCTCAGAGATCCCGCAGCCATTTCACATGGGGTGACACCCAAGGAGACTCGGACCTGGTTTGTTTTGGAAATTACAGATACATGTCTTGCTTTCCTATGTCCCAGGCCACCCAGCACAGGGCTGACCTCTTGGGCACTGTAGCCTCCGATTCCACTGGAAACAGGGCCTCTGAGTCTTCCCACATGTTGTAGAAGACTCCAGAGATAAGCTGCCTTTTCTGAGGTAAAATAAGCTCTTGATTAGAGCCTGGGCAGTGATCCCAATAAACACAGCTTCTCCAAAAGGGCTAAGAAGTTAATGCAAACTGCTTTGATGCAAGATTAAAGAAACACAACCGAACTGGATCCAGAAACCCGGGCTCCTCTCTGTTGCTCCATTCATTTGCATTTTAATTAACACTCTGAACTATTCCCAGCAAGGTTTCAAAGTCTTGCTTCCCTTCCTCGGGCAGAGGAACGTGCCAGGTTTAATTCCCTTTGCACCTCAAGTTGGGGCTGCCTGGGCTGCTTGCTTTCAGGGACTTTTCCTGCCCTGGAGGGCAAAGTCCAGCTGGGGACAGGGAAGGCTGCCTGGGAACTTGGGCTCTTTCAGGGATGAGAGAGGTCAGGAGATTTGGGTCCTCTTAGCAGCCCTGACGCCTAGGACGGGTCCCAACTCATGAACCTCAGCTTGCCCATCGCGAAATGACCACAAGCAACAGTGCCCTGGCCACTCAGCGTCCCGAGGACCCCACAGCTGGCCTCTGAATTTATTTTCCTCACTGAGAGATGCTGTCCCGAACCAAAGCAGGTCCGCCCCTGGCGGTCAGACCACTATGTATTAGACAGATTCCCGGGGCACTGCGGGCCGGTCCCAGCCACCTTTCGACAGCCGTGTCCTCCTTCTGCCCAAATTCACCAGGCTCTGCTGCAAAACTGGTCTGCTACTTCACCAACTGGGCCCAGTACCGAGAGGGCGCGGCTCGCTTCTCGCCTGGGGCCGTGGACCCCAACCTGTGCACACACCTCGTCTACGCCTTCGCAGGCATGAGTGGCCACCAGCTCAGTTCCGTGGAGTGGAACGACAGGCAGCTCTACCAGGAGTTCAATGGCCTGAAGAAGACGTGGGTGCAGGGGAAGAGGGACCCCGGGGCAGGGGGCAGAGGCCTCTTCTCAGAGCCAGAAACCTCCTGCATCCCTGCCACAGACCTCACATCACCCCTCTGGGCTTCCCCACACTATGTGGAAAAGGCGGGGTAGATTAGGAAACTGTTAAGGGCCCTTCCAGTTTAGATCCAAGTGAGATCGGGAGTGTAGAACTCATTCCTTCTCCCGGGGAAAGTCCTTCCGTTCAGGAATGCCCGAAAATCTATCCTTCCTTTAGCTCAAGTGCTAAGGCCATCTGTACAAAGCCTCTCTGAGGACCCCGACTACCTGCTTCCTGGATTCTTTGCGTGTGTCCATGTGAGTGCTGTCTCCCCAGGAAGACAGCCTGTCCTACAGACCACACATGTGCCTTCTCCTTCCCCAGAGAGAAGCCTGGAACTTAGGCAGCGCCCCCAGCTCCTACCCAGAAGCCCTCTGTGCTGGCACGGCAGGCTCCACCCTCAGGCATCTTCTGCATTCACAGGAACCCCGAGCTCAGGACCCTGCTAGCTGTGGGGGGCTGGAACTTCGGCACTCAGAAGTGAGTGGACTGGGGGTCCCTGGGTGGCAGGGCCCGTGACGGGAACTGGGAGAGCCACGGATACGGAATCTGGCCCAGGTGGAGGGCAGGGGGAGGGAGAGCTACCCTTGGGGGCTGACTCTTCCTCTGGGCTCTTGGTGGCCCTGCCGGGTGGGGGTGGGGGACAGCAGTGTGGGGGT